GGGACTGTGGGCTCCTGGTAACAAGCAGAATGGTAATAACAAGAAAAAGCACTTCCCTGGGCTAAATGAAATGACACAGTTGAACTGTTCTTGCTAGTAGCAAATACCTCTAGAAACGTGGGTACAAATTGCTATGCTCCATAATCGGCCATATACTCCTCTACCTCTTATGCTCAGGTGAACATGGAAAGTTATGAACAAACAAACTAAATATTTACTAAGACTGTAGAAAAATATCTTTAAAACCCCAACATATTTAGTCTTAAGAAAATCCAAAAGAACTGAAAAACTTTATATATGTAATTACTTCTTAGAATATTATTTATAAAGAGAGAAAAATAGGAAGCAACTTAAAAAATCTAGTTAAATTTAAACTATTTAATTGGATACATTCACTGAATGGAAAGTAATGAAACCATTAAAATGTGTAGCAGCATAAAATATCTATTTTATAAAATATATTTTTGTAATTTATATTTTTCTATATTACAAAATATAGTAAATTGTAAAGTAAATAAGGACAACCTTGTCAAATATATGTGTACGTGTGTGTGTGTGTGTGTGTAAAGCAAATACAATAGAAAGGGATACAGAAAAATGAAAATGGTTTTGTGAAAGGTTGATGAGGGACACTATGTTTTTTTCATTATCCAAACCCAATATGATATTATAAAAACCTACCATCTTTACAAGTGAGATAAAAACACTTCAGTACATCCTTAAAATACAAAACGTAACTGGTAGAAACACTAAAAATGAATCTATCTTAACTCAAAACCTCTTTTTCATTAAATCTTTAGCCAGAACATAAATAATATAAAATTTTACGCATCAACCAATCATGAAGGAAATGGCATGGGAAAAGAGTTTAAATTTCATGTTTACAGAAAAAATTAATAATAAAAGGAAGTATAATAATCTGTATATCATGGAATGTCCAAACTCACACTAGGTACCCAAGAAATATTAGCTGTTATTTTTTTTTAAGTAATTCAGCCCTAAAAAGGAATTTGTGAAATCCCAAATCAACATGTCAATAGTATTAAGAATTCAAAAACGATAACCCTAAAAGGTTACATACTGTATGATTACATATACAAAACAATCTTGAAATGACATAATTATAGAAATGATGAAAAGATTAACGGTTCCCAGGTGTTAAAAAGGGGGTGGAAGTTAAGAATGGAAGTGGGTGTGGATATAAAAGGACAACATGCAGGATCTTTTGGTGATGGAAATGTTCTGTATCTTGACTGTATCAATATCTTTGTTGTGATAATGTACTATAGCTTTGGAAGATGTTACCATTGGGTAAACTGGGCAAAGGGTATACAGGATCTCTCTGTATTATTTCTTACAACTGCATGTGAATCTATAATTATCTCAAAATAAAAAGATTAATAAACATAAAAAAAGAATAAGTTTCTGTTTTTCGATTGCAACCTGCTAAACTGCATCCTCACCTTTACATTCGGTCAAGATTCCCAGAACTCTCTGTCTTCATTTTTTGTTTAGCAAAGTAGCACCAAAGAAACTCATATTGGAAACACAATCTTCACCTTGACAGTCGAGTTGGCATTTAGATAGAATCGGTCCTTTTAATATCTCATTGGTGACCATGATAAATGATTAAGGAGCAATAATTGTAGGCTTAATCTGACCTACCAAGAACTAATGAATTTCATGATTATGACTTTCAAAGCTGAAGAGTCCATTGTCAACCTTAAGTAAAAGAGCTCTACTTATTATACAACAGCAAGGAAGGGAAAGCCCTGGAAAGTCCAATTTTGGATGATTTTCCAACTGAGATAACTTCTTAAAGATAGTGTTATTCAATTCATTCTTTTATCCTTATGGATGTTTTTATTTCATTGTTTTAGGCTTCCTTTCTGTATTCTTAATTATATTTGATCGTCAACGATCTAAAGAGGAATGGATAGATAAATCACTACCAAATGCTGCTGGGAAATGGATTTATAACTAGGCTGAATATTTTCATTCTTGAAACTCTTGGCTGCCATCAATACTTCACATATGATATCAATTAGAAGACACAATAAATGACCTCACAGAACGCATGCTGGCTTCTGTGGATCGCATGCCGGCAAAAAAAAAAAAAAAAAGAGATTTGCCCAAAATTAGTAAATGTGGCCTGGCAAGAACTGCTGAACTAAGTATATTTTACAACTTTAACACACATCACAGGACATAGTAGGAGCAGATTCACAAATAATGAATACACACACACACAAAGCTGGGAAGACCTTAAAACAGAAATATTACTAACATCAAGGCACATCAAGTAGCAATAGATTATTTCTACTTATTTAGATGAACATAAAGCTATTCATTACCAAACATAAAAAAAGAACATTTTTATTACCAAAATTAACAGTGATGCAGTCAGTTTCAACAAATTCCACAACTCAAGACATTTGTAATATCTATAATTAAACCACTATAAATAACACTTATTCACCTCCAGCAAGAATCAATAAAATAGTGGGTTTATTCTCTAAACAAGAAAGACAATGGAAAACGAGGGATAATAAAATAAACATTCTTTATAATAAAATGAAGTTAACTGATTGCTGGCATTGCTTTATTATTTATTAATGTTTACCCTGTTACAAAAAGGATTTAAGCAGGCTAGCAGCTATTGTTGGAATGACAATGTATTGATTCTTGCTTCATTTGCAACACTTCAGTTAATATTTTTAAAAGTGAGTTTTGATAAAAAATATTACATGGGATTTGGATTTCATAAGGTTCAAAGAGAAAGAGGGACAGGTGAGAAACATAATGGAAAAGAGAAATGCATGGACAAAGGAATATGAGAAGCAAGGTATTATGGTATAATAGTGACTTAAATTATTTTTGTGGGTAGTGTTTTGGGTTGGGGAAATGGATTTGGGGCTAAGTATTCAACAATCTCAAATGGTCTCCTTTAAGTATACAGAGAAGTAGCAATAGCTCCATCAGTGTAGGGATAGGATATCTTATGAAGAAAAAAAACAATCATTTGAGTTTTAGAAGAGAGTTGAAAGAACAATTTAGAACCTCCTTGATGGCATTAAGTATATCTAACTGCACACTAATTTGTCAGGAGAAAATTTAACTTTCAGAGAGCAGACGTTATCCTAGGTCGCTTACATATGTAATGCCATTTTATCCTCATTTGAAGAAATGGAGGCTCAGAGAAGTAGTTAAAGGACATATAACTGAGTGGTATATATCAGGTACAGTCCTGGGGTTGCCTAAAGACAAAGCGTGTTATGCTACCATATTAGACAACATTTTTCATACCTCCAGTACTATCACAGTTAATGATGATGCCTTGGAGAAATGGGATAAGAAAAGTCAGCTCCATACTCAAGAGTATTTCTTATGGGATAATAAACATCTACCGAATATACAGTCTTAGAATACCAGCTGAGGATGGGTGTAGAAAACAGTGGAGTTATAGAAATAGTAAGACTAAATTATTATTTATTAAGAGGAGAAAGTTAATTTCAGAAATGAGTTAATTCCTGTTTGGAAAAAATAATGAAAAAGAAATACTCCAAAACTGATAACAATGATCACCTTTGGGGAGTGAAAATGCAGAATTCTTTCTTCTTTCGAAGTTTGCATTAAAACTTGGTTATTTGTAGCATTCCTGTGCTGTAATAGTGCTCTGCCATGACGTTGTAACAAATTTTACAACTATTGGGCACATGATATGAAAGCACTGTCCTTAGAACCACTGGTTCCTAAACAGTGACGATGATCGCTGCCTGTTGAAGTTAAGTGTTTATCCAAAAGAACGCAAGTTTTATTGTCACCAAGATCCTGAGTAAAATATCTAACCTCTCCCTGCGGTCCAATTTCCTCGTCTGTAAAATGGTGCTAAACCCTGTACTGCAGAATTGTTGAGGAACCTATATGAAAAGTTCTTAGCACATGGCCATGAGCATATAAACATTCAATGCGGTAGTTGCTAGTATTACTATATTCTTATATTTATCATCATCATCAACTGTTATAATTAGTCATAACCTTAAGATAAGACAACTCTATTTTTCTTCAAATCACATTCATTCACTAAAAAAACAATAGCTTTGTATGCCTCTTCACTGTGTCAAATATTTGATAGGTTAATGAATGATCTTTGATGTAATTCTAATACTTCTCTAAAACAGTAAAGATTCTCTCTGCTGTGTTGTAATTCTGGGAGTGGTCTAAAGTTTAGAAAATTATTTAGAAGCTCAGTTCTAACACTGACCCAGCCTACCCAATCTAATCGCGAGGAGTGAAAGAATCCTTTGCCATTCTTCAACCCAACAATATTTTTTGCTGGCTGTAAAAGTGCCACTGGCCCATGCCAATTTTCCCATCTCATCTCTTTCTAAGGCTCTCTCATCAAAAAACTAAGAAGCAGATATACTCAAAAGTTCTCCTATAAGTATAAATTTCTCTTTTAACCTAACAAAAATAAGAACAAGAAAAGCCTGAAGTCTGGTTTTCTTTAGCTTCTAGAGATAGTCTACATGATCAGATGATTCAGGAGTCCCTTCTAGACACTCCTGAGGTTCACCTTTCATCCACAGATTAGACAGATCCATAAAACAAAATGAGACTAAAGGGGCACACCAGCCCACGGGCAAGGACTAGAAGGCAGGAGGGGACAGGAAAACTGGTAATAGGGAACCCAAGGATGAGAAGGGAGAGTGTTGACTTGTCGTGGGGTTGTTAACCAATGTCATAAAACAATGTGTACTAAGTGTTTAATGAGAAGCTAGTTTGTTCTGTAAACCTTCATCTAAATTTAAAAAAAAAAGAGTCCATTCTAGAAAGAAGTGGTAAAGTAGAAAGTCTTCCTTCACTCTTCCAAACAACATCTCTGGGAACGAATGTTCAAACTGTAAGTTACTTAAATCTAATCTTACATCCTTGAAGGCACTATGCCTTGTAAAATATATTCTTCAAAATTATCCAAAAACAATTCAAAAATAGCCTACCTCAGCTTGACAGAGCGCATGAAGACCTTGTAACACCAAGGCTGCTGGAGTAGCTTGATCAGATTTAGTGCATTCGTTTAACACCTGAGAAATAGCTGCCAACATATCAGCACCATGCTGATATGGTCTATAAGAAACAACAGTTTAAAAAGAAAATTAAAATCAAAGAACTATTACTACTCCCAGGTCTTTTACCTGAAGAAAAAGCATCAGTGCTTTTCTTTGCCCTGTGTCTAATAAATGTTGACCCTCAAATACTAACACCACTTTTTTTCCTCAAAAATTACAGCATGAGCATTTCTGCTATAATCAAATTATTGACTTTCGATATAGAAATATTATTTTAAAAAAGACACATTTTATCAAATTTTATTCTCCTCAAATTACACATCCTATTGTCTGAATTGAGAAAAACTCAAGTCTATAATAATGGTTGAAAGATATGACGACTTACCTTATTAAGATTATTAGTAATGATAGAGTTATTCCTGTCTAGTGGTTTCTCTGGGACCAGACACTGACCAGAAAAGCAGGGACTTGTGATCCACAGGATGATTTATGGTAGTAGTGATACTAACAGCTATGGTCTCCTATGTGCTTACACCTACCGTAATAATGATGACGATGAGGATAATGAGCATGGCAAAAAAAAAAATAACAGTAAAACCTGCAAAAGCTGGAAACTGTGTAAGGCAGAAATCTGTCAAAGAAGGAAAATTAAAAAATTTTCCACTAATAGAGAGCGATACCAAAGTGGTAAGACTGCACTCTGTCAAAGGTGCAAAATTTGTGAGACCTAGAAAGACAAGGCAGTCCCATCGAGTTTTGGTTCTCACAAGTTTCACTATAATGTGAATCACAGTTGACTGAGCACCTATATCATGACAGCACTGTGCTGGATTCACTCACTCATGCTCCTCATCCTCTCTTCTCTACTTCATATATTTACTTATGCTATCCTCAGGATACCTTTAACTCATAAAGAAATTCTCAGGTCTATCTCCTACATTCCCTTTTATCCCTCAATAATATAGTACTTTTCTCTAATTAACAAAATGTCAGTTAACAAAATTGCCTGACTGGATCCTATTGTTTCACTGCCCCACAAACAGAAATCACTTTTCTAAAACTGGAAAAACCAGCAGATCTTGAGGTGGCAACTAAAAGGAACATTGAGTAAGTAATCAACAGACCAGTACTCCTATCTGATCTGTTATCTAACCTCTCAAGCCTCAGTTTTAAATATGCAAAATAAGAATTGCAACTAATAACCCTTTCATCTCTAAAATCTTTTCCATGCTGACCACCACAGGAGAATACAAACTCTCAGGTCTTAGGCCATATGTGTATAACTTATAAACTGAGGTTATTTTTGTGTTGCTAAAGGCTAAAGCTTAGAAAAGATACAGAACTGCTAAGCTTAGACTCCTGTGGACTCTGATCCAAGATTTTACTTGAAACAGGAATGTTATCACCACCTGGGCCAACCCATTGCATAACTTCAGGAAGCATCATTCACACTGTCAACATCGACAAAAGTGAGAATGATGCTCCCAGGAACCTTAAAATGCAGTGGCCTGATCAACATATGAAACTGAAGAATTACAACTGCTTCAAATGCATCAAATCTATTTCCTCCTTTAAACATTTTTACTTTACCCTGTGCACCTCCCTCCCAGAAAAAAAAAATTCTGGAAGGCAGAGCTTTGATAAGTGTTATCTCAGTCTTGTCACCTCCTGCCCGCTTATTAATCTGTTAGAACAGCAGAGTCATCTCTCTAATATTTTATGTCTTCCTAAAAGTTTACAGTATATAAGAAAATTTCAAGATCATTTCTTACATTATTCTAAGTCCTAATGTTTCCACGTAATGAGTGACAAATAAGGCCTTCCCTATTAAAACCTTTTATAAGAATCAGGCATAATGTAGGACAAATATAAAAAAGACCAGTTGATGAATACAGTCTACTTCTTAGGTTTCAGGGATTTATATGTAGACAAATAGAAAATATAATATACTATGTTTTATTAAAATACTAAATTAGTACCCAGAAAAGGATATAAACATCCTATAAGCCAAGATATAAGACTACATGTAAAATGGAGAGATGTACTTGCTTCTCAAAGTTATCATCCAATACTATGAACTTTTACAATCAGAAAACTTGAGTTGAAAAATAGTTTATCCTCACTCAAATATCCTATGCCAGTCTCTAGCCACCATATCTCAATCATCAACCAAAAGACAGCAACCATTCCTTAAGACTATCTTTCCTAGCTTCTTGCTGGCAACAAAATAATTAAACCCAAAATAATATATCACATTATACATTCCCAAGGGTTAAGTGCATCTTACCTTTGCTTACATATATCTCTGATCGATGCTGCTTTCGCGATTAGTTTCTCCCACTGGACCTCCCTGCCCACAGACAGAGAAGGCACATCAGACATGGCCATGAACCGCTGCAGCTCAGGATAGACACGATCCTAAGAAAGTAATTTCACAAAAAAAGGTAACTTTTCAACTTGAGTGGAATAATCATTATTTACTTTTATGTAGCATTTTCACTTCCAAATCTCGCATTAGCATTGCAAATTATAATGTATTTCTTCTAATCAGCAGAGAAGAATGCTGTTATGATTGCTGGGGATTCCATGCACTGTTCATTTCGTAAAACAAGAAGAAAGTGGGTAAATTGCACTCTAATTACAAAGGCTCTAATCACTTGTAACCATATTTCTATCACTTTCTTATACAAATAGAAAGATAAATTTCAGAAGTAAGGAAATCAGGTTTTTTATGTTCTCACTCTCTCTGATAATCAGTCACAACTGTCTGTATTACAGCTAAAAGCATCACAAATAAATCAAAATTTCTCAATGCAGTCACTGATACCACTAACTTACTAATATCACTATATCAAAGCACTTTCACACATAATGACAAAATTATTTTTCCTTAGTGAAAGCAACACTCACACAAGTGTATATCTGAGCTTACCTGTTTTTCCCACAAAGATGTCAACAAGCGCAAAGTGACAGCTCTTAGCTGTGGGGTGGTTCCAAGCAGTTGGATTACTCGTAGAATTTGTCCTATGCACACCTAGTAAATATTAAAGAAACTTTGTTTCATAAATGTAAATGCAGACAACCCTAAGGTTACCAAGGGCATTTTAAAAATCATTATATAGACTGAAATGGAAGCTTACTGCTTCTGTTCTTTGCAGTGGGGGACAGCTTTGGGGGAGGCTAGCTAGCAATCCTGGGGGCATAAGGACCTAATCTGAGACAATAGCCAAAGAGAAAACTTAGATGTTAAGTGATTTAAAAGAATTAATTCTTAAATATATAATGTAACAAATCCTTTTGCCTTTGGGCAATATCACCTATTAAATGTGACCAACGAGGAAAGCAATGGCACTGCAAAATTAAGGGCCCCAAATTTCATATAATACCCAGCAGAATTAAATGTATTACTCACGTCACACTTTCTTTTTCCCTCAAGTAAATTGGTTAGTATACTAACCTTGTGAACACCGAGAGTAGGTAAAGTATACAAGATATCATTGTACGATACAGGTTCCAGTGGTCTTCCTAATTTGAACATCAAAAGTGGAATCAGACTTGGAACCTAAAATGAATATAAAGAGCATATTAGTTATACACTGATCTAAGAGAAAAAGATCTACAAAGCAATCTATATTTCTTTTTTCTTCAAAGGAATAGTATGACTATGCATGAATTAGAAGACTCAGAGAATGTCAAAGTTCATAAAGAATAAGACTACAGTAGTTTCATAGTACTACTCATATTCTATCTCTTTTATAATGAGCTTCCAAAAACCAATCAAAATGTGTTTTTTCTAAACAATCATGAAATAAACTCAGAGAAATACAAAAGTAGTTAAGGCGTATTCTACCCCTCCCCAGAAAGATTACAGTTCCAATGGACAGCCAACACATAAGATATGTAAACAATAAAACAACACCACATAATGAAATTTTCAACCATGTGATTCAAATACTCAATAACTAAAACCAGTTTATTATAAAGGGGGCCAACAAAAATTTCCTTCCATGTCCCCAATTCAATCCCTATGCATAACAAAATAAGAAGGGCAATTAATTCATGGATCAAAATACCTAACATTGTTACGATGACAATATTCCCCAAATTGATTTACAGATTCTACATAATCCCTATCAAAAGCCCAGCTGGCTTCTTTGCAGAAATTGACATCTAATACTAAAATTCATACGGAATTGCAAGGAACCCTGAATAATCAAAACAATATTGAAAAAGAAGAACAAAGCTGTAGGACTAATACTTCGCAATTTCAAAATTTACTACAAAGCTACAGCAATCAAGAGAGTATAGTACTGGCATTAGGACAGATACACAGATCAATAGAATAGAACCGAGAGTCCAGAAATGAACCTTTACATTTCTCATCAACTGATTTTCAACAAGTATGCCAAAAGCATTCACTGGGGAAAGAATAGGCTTTTCAACAAATGCTGCTGGGATAACTGGATAGCCACATGAAAAGAATGAAGTTGGACCCCTTCCTCACACCATATACAAAAATTAACTCAAAATGGATTTTAGGCATAAATGTAATAGCTAAAACTATGAAACTCTTAGAAGACAATACAGGGGTAAGACATCAAGGCCTTATTTTGACAATTGATTCTTAGATATGACACCAAAAACACAAGTGACAAAAGAAAAAAAAATAGATAAGTTAGATTTCATCAAAATTTAAAACTTTTGTGCTTCAAGGGACAACATGAAGAATATGAAAAGATAATCCACAGAACAGGACAAAATATTTGCAGTCATATATCTTCTAAGCTACTTGTATCCAAAACATATATAAGGAAGTCTTACATCTCAGTAATAAAAAGATAACCCAATTAAAACAAAGACAAAGGATCTGAATAGACATTTTACCAAAGAGGATATACAAATGGACAATAAACACACGAAAAGATGCTCAACATCATTAGCCACAAGATAAATGAAAATTAAAACCACAATAAGATATCCCTTCACACCCATTAAACCAAACCCTTGCCATCGAGTCGATTCCAACTCATAACGACCTTACAGGACAGAGTCAAACTGTCCTATGGGGTTTCCAAGGAGTGACTGGTGGATTCTGTCAACCTTTTGGTTAGCAGCTGAGTTCTTAACCATTGTGCAACCAGGGATGGCTATAATCAAAAAGACAGCTAATAACATGTTGGCAAGCATGCAGAAAAATCGAAACCCGCATACAGCATTGTTGGGTATATAAAATGGTGCAGCCGCTTTGGAAAACAGTCACACAGTTCCTCAAATGGTTCAACGTAGAGTTACTATATAACCCAGCAATTCCACTCCTATGTGGGGAAAACATATGTCCACAAAAAAACTTGTACATGAATTTTCATGATATCATCATTTGCAATAGCCAAAAAGTTGAAAAAACCCAAATGTCCATCAACATACAACAGAATATTATTTGGCTATAAAAAGAAATTAAGTACTGATACATGCTACAACATGGATGAACCCTGAAACCATTATGCTAAGTGAAAGGAACCTGTCACGAAAGGCCACATATTATATGAATTCCACTTATATAAAATCCAGACAGGCAAACCTATAGAGATAGAAAGCAGATTCCTGGTTTCCTAGGGCTGGGGTCCATATCTCAGTTCCTCCTAGAGCTGTGGGGACTGGTGGAAAATAGGAAGTGATTGACTGCTAATGAGAACACGGTTTGTTTTTTGAGGTAGTGAAAATGTTCTAAAATTGATTGTAGTGATGATCGTACAACTGTGAATATACTAAAAGTCACTGAATCTTACACTTTAAATGGATGAATTGTATGGTATGTGAATCATATCTCAAGAAGGTTGTTAAAAAATTCAGTTCAAAATAATTTAATGAAAACCTACTATGAGAAAGGCACTGTATTTGATAGCATCAAATGTGGTGCCATAAAATTTTATTTTTCATGTACTACATATCACAGATTTGTTGTCTATTAATCGTTAAATTCCTCTATCTGTGCTAATCTTAGAATGTCTGCTCCTTCTAAGCTTAGAAGACATCTACTTTAATTCAATTTTAAGAGAGAAAAAAATCCTTTTAACCTACCACCAAAAAGTGACAGTTAAACATTAATTCATTAATGAGCCTGACCATGCGCCATGCATGTAATTACTACAGCCTCCCAACACGCAGCCAGAATTTATGATGTTTTTAACAAGTGCTGGGGTTCTATTAGAACAGAAGTTCCATCACCCTCACCTTGAGCAAATGAAGGAAGACAAATTTTCCAATTGGCTTCTATTTCCCATTTTAATTAAAACAAAAGGTTATTTTAGATTGTCTTGCACACATCTCAGTGAATGTCTCTTTCTGGGAAAGATTTCTACCAAGACACTTTGACAGATACTTAGTTCCAGGAAAGGCAATCAGTAAACTTAGTGGCATCTTACAAAATAGTATAGTTAGCCATGTGACTTTCAAACAAATGTTTTAATTATATTGTCAGGAGACAAAGTACTGCATGCCTCAGAGTACAGCCCTTTGATTAGTTTAGGTCCTAAAGAAGTATATAAGGGTGTTTATTTTTCTCTGACCAGTTCAGAATCAAGAAAAGTGGGAAACTTTTACAGTAAATAATCTTAGATTGAAAACTGCCCTGAGACTATTATAGCTCAAATTAAATCCTCAACTGAATAGGGGGAAAAACAGAGGATAGTTCATTAGGAAAACACCAGCTCGTGCTTAACTTGATCCCAAAAATATTTTCCATGGATATGTATATGAGATGTCATTACCAGCTCTTGATTCCCCTGCTCTTAAACCTTCTGCTCTCCAGTAGGTGCTCAGACTGAAAACAGAACGACTGCTCAGACTCTAACTTAAATTTAAAATAAGCTGGTAAGTGCCCTACTACTATTCACTGTCTCAAGACCTTCTGGTTTCATACAATTTAAGACAGTCAATGTTTCCCCTTCTCTTCTTCAGGGTTCAAGTCCTTGATAAATTGATTCAGAAGAAAGGGATTGGTTTTTAAGAGTCAGAAGAGGCTTTGTCGAGTTCATTTAGTCAAACAACTTTATTTTATGGGTGATGAAACTGAAGTCCAAAGCAATCGCAAAGTTCATTGGTGATAGAATTAGGATGGGAGTCCTTGTCTCAGTTTACCCGCCATCCTACCTTGGTTGAGTGAAAGCTAAGATTTCTCCCCATAATTGAGCAAAAAGGGAAGAAATAAGCAAGAGAGATACAAACCAGCATCTTCCTGGAGTCAAGCATATAAAGAGCAAAATATAAAAATGCAACTCCATATTCCATGAAAAACATGCATGTTGACATAATGAAAATCATGAGTAGTACTATCTACCGATAAATTACGAGAAATAAAAAAGGGGGCTTTGTTATTATTCATCTTAATTAGATGACACAAGAATATACAATCAATGTTTATAACTATTCTTTTTTTTTAAAAAAAGAGTATGAGATAACTAAAATAAATTATTTTAAGTAGAAAATAATCAAAGATTCCAGTGAAAAGAAATAAATCAAGACATGATCACCTAAAGGAAACGAGATGCAAATAGCCAAAGCAATATCTAGCTTTAGCTTTTTAAAATTATGTTTTCTAAAACTAGACCTGAACTAGAAGCTGTGCTTTCTTGGTTCTTATTTTATTCACAGCTTCAGATTAAATAAATGCTGAAACATCTTTGCATAAGACTTTGTCCTGTGAAAAAATGGAACTAAATTCTACATACACAAATGTGTTTGCCATTTAAAAATCAGTGGTAAGTTGATAAACATGTTACAAGTGAAAAGATAAAGCTTGAATTTTTATATAATAAAGACCTAATCAGCTTAAATGGTACGCAGCAACAGAACCATAAATGCATCCTTTAATATTTTACCATTAAAAGAGACTTTTAAAAATTATTTATTCTACAAAAAGGACATAATGTACTATTATGCTTTGGAGCATTAGTTAATTCCACCTTCCTGACATTTCTACTTATGATATCTGCTTATTTTTAAGTTATACATTGGAAAGCAGTCCATTATGGAAGTGCTTAAAAGCTAACGATTTCCTCCAGTCCTAAGGAACCTACAAGCGTGCAGCAACATCAAAAGGAAGGTAAACATGGTATAACTTTATTCCCTTGAGGTTCAAATTATATTTATATCATAACATTATAATTAGATAAATTTTCTAGGGCATTGAAGATTAGCCTTTGAGAACCAAATAAGGTCAAGGGAAGACATGTACCTAGAATAATTGCCTACCATGCAATTTTCTTTCTATGGTGATATGTTACTTTAGCCTTACTCCAGTTCAGCCTGAGCACTTCATATGTAGTGACTCTTCTAATACTAGCAGCTAATATTTACTGAACACTTACTATAAACACTCTGCTAAGCACTTTCTAGAAAATCATGATTATCATCAGCATGCTTCAAATGATGAAACTAAACCTCAGAGAGGCCAAATAATTTGCCCAAGGTAACAGAGCTAGTACATGGTTGAGTGAAGACTGGACTCAAGTAATTTAACTCCAAAGCCCATACACTTGTTCCCTTTACCATGCCAAAGTCCCC